CCGCTTGAGTTCTCTCGATGTGGACAGATAATATGTTTGAATGTAATTGTATATGAAAACTTTGTGAATAATAGAAAATCGAACAGGTTAGAATTTGATCGATTCTCATGCAAATATAGAAGGGCGATCACTTACGCATTGGAATCGCGACAAAGATGAATAACGGAGTAGAAAATGAGATAACAATAATGGTTGCTGCTACGACAAAGAGAGTCCTGAAAAATCCTGCAAACGTACGAGGCAGAACCTCATCGATGGTATACTGATCCTTGCTGAATCTATTTAAAATGCGACCTAACGGTGTCGTGTCCTGCGAATTGTTATTCCAATATCCTAAGTTAGCAATTTCTGTCACCACGAGCGTGTAATTCACGTACTATATGAAAAACTTACAAAAAAGGACATCGGAGACCTGAATGCAAGTTGCAATAAGTAAATTTTGATTAAGAAAAACTTGCAGCAAGATCTCTAAAACATTCAATGAATAAATTCCTTACCGTACTACACCATCCATCATTCTCTCATGCAAATATCGTGCAGCTCTATTTGTGAAAAGAGATACGTTAAGCGGGATAAACAACAACCCGAGATAAAAATCAGCGCATAACGTATCAAATTAAAAAAATAATACCTGATAGCGCAGAATACCCAAACAATTAATGTCTGCAAAATGGTCAGGAAGGAATAGATAATACCGATGCAACCATATATGGCCAAGTAAAACAATACATTGTGGGAATCTTCCTTTGAACTCCAATACTTGAGGAACACGTTAGAGCCTATGGAAATGATAATATTTTACATTATTATAAATTACGAGAAAGAAAGTTCGGTGGAAAAGAAAAAACATACTTATTTGTGCCCCCTGAGTGGCTATCATAATGATAAAATAAAAAATAACCGCCGGTATCGAGCACGACTTGATGTAAGCCCGATAAACTGGCCACTCCACACTTCCTTTCGCCGATTCCTCTTTCACGATTAATCTGTCCCGTTCGCTGCCTTCGTTTTCCTTGGCGTTCATCGCTTTGAGGGATGTTCGTCGATGAACACTAGTTACACTAAGGTGTCGTTCTCGTGGAGTTCTCGTTGTTTCCTCAGTTTTTAGATCTGCTCCTGCCTCATCAACTTCATACGTTTCCACCGTATTCGGACTATTTATTTCGTCCTCATCATCATGTTCCGAAATTTCTTGGCTATATTCACCGATCAATTTATACAGTTCACGCTTCTGTTTCATCAGTGTGTCATAATTTCCCTGTTCTATAACTCGCCCTTCATCTATCATTACCACTGAGCTTGTGCGCGATAGATAATGAATCCCATGTGTAACAAATAGCCGGGCTTTTGTTCTAAGTAAACCGGTGGGTCCCAACACTTTCTCAAATATATGTTTACCAACGTGAGCATCGACGGCAGACAAAGGATCGTCTAGTAAATTAAAGCAACAACAAATTAGTAAGACCGAATTATTAAACGAAATTTTTGTTACGTTAAATGTTCTAAACGCGCAATAAAAAACAATTGGTGTATTTTGAAGTCGATACTTGCCAAGCAAATAAATATCAGCACGGGCGTATACGGCACGAGCTAAGGAGATTCTGGCTTTTTGCCCTCCTGAAAGATTTATTCCTCGTTCGCCTATCTCGGTTAAGTCACCACCGGGAAGTATGGCTATGTCCGGTTTTAGGCTGCATGCTTCAATGACTTCTATAAACGTCAATTTACCAATCCGTTTGGATACAATGCATCCCGTGTGAGAAGAATATAATGAAAATTTGTTGTAATGACTAATGAAATTTACCTTCATAAAATGCCGGTTCATATGGAAATCCGAAGGTGATATTATCTCGAAGAGTAGCATTCATAATCCAGGCTATTCACAATTTCAAGGAGACAAACAATTAAGAATACTTGTTACGAATGGAATTTTCACGCAAAATTAGAAAAAATGACTTTGCACTCATACCTGACTGTTAAGTTTTGAAGCGATAAATCAAAAAAGAGGTTTTAGCAAGAGTAACAAATTTTTCACACAATAGATATTCTAATATTCAAGGTAAATATTAAAGTTGTTTGTGAAACTTCAGTACCTGAGGAACAAAAGCAATATGCCCTCGGACAGTAACTTCACCACTGATCTTTTCCATTTCACCGAGAAAAGATGACAGAAGCGATGATTTACCGGCGCCTGATCAAAGTAATTTGATAAAGTCAACTTATTAAAGTTCCGGAAAGACATCAATAACCTAATAAACAAACTCACCAACCCTCCCAACAATTGCAACCAACTCCCCTCTTCCAACACTCAGATTAACACCATCCAACACCGGCTCCGAATTTTTAGACCATTTGAATGCCCCGTTACTCATTGATGCCATCACAATCCTACCACCCGCATCTCTCAGTGAACTAGAATCATCACTTCGATAAGGTAATCGAATGACAGAATTGGGATTCAGTTCATCGGCTTTCAGAAAATCTTGAACTCTCTGAAGAGCCACTGATGCTTCTAGCATTGAGGTTATTACATTCGGAAAGATGGTGAGTGGGAATTGAAGAAGGTTGAATAGTGTTAATGACACAAAGACCACTTCGCTGGTCAAAGGCTGATTGGCAACCATCGCGTATACTGCAAACGTGGCGAATGAAACTAGAAATGGCTGTAAAACATGTTAAACAAGTTAAACGCAGCAGTTGCGGGTACTGTTAAATAAGACAAATGTTGAATTCCTACAGTAGATGCCCATGTAAAACTCTGCATGGAAGCGAGATAGCCAAGTTTCTTGAGGGTTTCGAGTTCTAAATCATTTCTTACATGGAAAATCTAATTTGATACATAATAGATAATAAGGCTCAATCCCAAGGTTAACGTGATAGAAAAACCTAAGGATCTCAAATACCTTTTTCATAAATGCCGATTCCCATGCATATAGTTTAATGACTTTAATACCATTAAGTATTTCGTTCTTTTGGAAACAAGAGTTCCATCATTAAAAAAAACAAGAATTTAATAACAACACGCCTGAGAAATTCGTTTTGTTTAAGAAAAAAAAAAGAATCATGACCAATTACCATTAACTTAATTCTCATATCTTTATTCTTCATCTGTTGTTTTTGTAGAGATCTCATCTTCGAAGCTACAAACGCATTCACCGGCAACATCAAAAGCATCACGGCTACACCAGCAAATGCACTAACACCCATTGTATCATATAAGAAATACAAAGCCAAGGTGATTTGCAAAGGACCAGACCAAGCGATGTGTAAATAGGTGGTCAGATCCATTATCTTTTGCGCGTCCACGCTCATATCTATTTTGGTACGGAGGATTTCATTATTGAAACATGAATGTCAACAACGCGTAAATAGAGATCAAAAAACGCTTACGATTAACAATTTCCCCAACCGTCGAATGTTGTCGCGCACTATTAGATAGGAGTAAGGATTTTTGATAAATGGCCGTCACAAGACCGGCACGAGTCTACGTTTTAAAGTTTTTTAAGTTTACAAAAATTGCTCGAGACACCAAAACACAAGACTTAAGATCAATTTACCCTCATTCCGGTAACAAAGCATAGTTGGAAGTATTGATGAAGAAACATGGTCTGAAGGACCGCGGTAAGTAACATCATTACTGTTTAGACAATGACTTTATTAATGTACTAAACATTTTGCAAAAGGATCTTCACAAGAAATCTTTGATTCTAAATACCAGCAATCAGATATCCTCGTAACATCGGTTGTGGATCATCGCTTTTTTGGCTGCTCACAAATATCATTAATTGTTTCAATAATTGGGGTTGTACGAAGTTGAGAATATCCTGGAGAACTTTAAATAACTGAATTTTAAAGTGCGCGATTAGATTATTGGATTTTCTTGATCTACAATCAAATGTATCAAATTAATTTACTCACAGCGGCAAATGCAAACGGTCCACCAAATGTATACGCAATAGCTTTAAATAGTGATGGACTATTATTAATAGAACGCAGCATGTTATTAATGATTCATAAAAAAAGAAAGAAACCAACAAAAGATAAATGAAAGGAAAGAACCGACTTTTTCTTTGTTAACTGCTTTTTCCATGCCCTTTCAAAACTTGCAGATATTTTCTTTGACTGATCTTCAGTCCTCAAGTCCCTACATAGACATACAATATGTGTAAGTTTTCTTCAAAAAGGAAAGAAAACTCCCAAACGAAATTTCAAATGAAATTCACCGTAGATCATCGAGCGCCAGATATTTACTATATCCAAGTCTCATCAAAGAATTCATCCAAGCAAACGTGAGGCGTGAATATATACTGGCATTTTCTTCTAGATTCGCATGCTATAAAAAAAAACTTTAGCAATCGATCAAAATATCTCGTAAAAACTCAAAACTAAAGACTTTAATTACTTGATCATCACTAATAAGCTCGTAATCATTTTTCGGTTTAGGAATCAAATCCAACACAAATATTATTGGGGCCAATATCTCAGAAAGCAATAAGGTGAAGAACAATAGAGCATTCTCTTTAGGATAATTCTGCCTATTCCATGCCATTAGTTTTGCGAAATTGATCACTATATATAAGATCCAATATAATATCAAGACCGAGGATGCAGAATAACTATTTGTGTAGGATTTTTTCTGAAGGTATGCTGCGAAGATCTATGATAGTGCGATTCGTTAATATTCCGGTCGTCGCTCGTTAATAAGCTTGATCAGACAAAAATACTTACAAGTGCAATAATATTGATCACGATTGAAATTACAAACAAATCCTTCGGATTCCACTTGCTCCAACTGAGCAACAAACCAAAATGTGCAACATTTAGCGCGATCAAAAGAAACAGGGCTATCTATTCGATAGGAAAATGTTATTTGATCACACGAACATCATAGATATTTAAAATTCGGATCGTTCACAACTGAAATGTGGGAAACAAATACCCTTTTAGCCAGGAAACGCCAACTTCTCAATCCACTGGCCGGAACAACAGTTGATCTCTTGGTGAGATAAAATAATTCAAGAAAGCCAAAGATCATAAACAGTAAATTGACCGGCACGACAAATGCACTATTACGAGCGGATCAAATGGAAAAAATTATTGTCAGGTTTATAGAAATTAAATGCGTAGCCAATTTTACTCTTCGAAAATAATTTTACCCTTCGATGAAACATAATGTCAGCAGTGGGACCGGTCGATCCAGCCACAGCGGACCCTAAATGAAAAAATCACATTGATATTATATTATACTCATGTTTATTTGTTTGTTCCTGGTAACGTAGAGCGTTCAGAAAAGAACAATTACCCAACCATCCGGGTCATGACAAAACGAGTCATCATTAATCATGTTAAACAATCAAGATATGATGCCTCA